ATCGATTTGGAAAATCTAGTATGTTGGAGTCTGCCATGAATAGAGCACCACAGCTTGGGGCCAGAGTTTTTGTTCCAGTTTCTGTCCCCAATGGTATCTCCAGGTAAGGGCTGGGAAGATCCCCTTTTCCTGGACAGCAGCTACCAGTCAGAGCTGACAATATGGAGCTGGGTGGATCAAGTCGTGATGTTGCTCTGTTTTAAAATGTGAATTTAAAATGCAAAGTGGCAGATAGATTTCAACAAGGACGCAGTGCAAGACCCTTTCCTTTCATCACAATCATCTGCTATGTTTTGGGCCTTAGCTCTGTGTTGCATATTGCTTGTATCTGGCTACAAAAATCAACAATATAATAATAATAATAATAATAATTTATTATTTATATCCCGCCCATCTGGCTGGGCTTCCCCAGCCACTCTGGGCGGCTTCCAACAAAATATTAAAATACAGTAATGCATCAAACATTAAAAGCTTCCCTGAACAAGGCTGCTTTCAGATGTCTTCTAAAAGTCTGGTAGTTTTTCTCCTTGACATCTGCTGGGAGGGCGTTCCACAGGGCGGGCGCCACCACCGAGAAGGCCCTCTGCCTGGTTCCCTGTAACTTGGCTTCTCGCAGTGAGGGAACCGCCAGAAGGCCCTCGGAGCTGGACCTCAGTGTCTGGGCAGAACGATGGGGGCGGAGATGCTCCTTCAGGTATACTGGACCAAGTCCGTTTAGGGCTTTCAAGGTCAGCACCAACACTTTGAACTGTGTTCAGAAACGTACTGGGAGCCAATGTAGGTCTTTCAAGACCGGTGTTATGTGTCTTGGCTGCTGCTCCCAGTCACCAGTCTAGCTGCCGCATTCTGGATTAGTTGTAGTTTCTGGGTCACCTTCAAAGGTAGCTCCACGTAGAGCGCATGGCAGTAGTCCAAGTGGGAGATAACTAGAGCATGCATCACTCTGGTGAGACAGTCCATGGGCAGGTAGGGTCTCAGCCTGCATTCCAGATGGAGCTGGTAGACAGCTGCCCTGGACACAGAATTGACCTGCACCTCCATGGACAACTGTGAGTCCAGAATGACTCCCAGGCTGCACACCTGGTCCTTCAGCGGCACAGTTACCCCATTCAGGACCAGGGAGTCCTCCACACCTGCCCGCCTGCTGTCCCCCCAAAACAGTACTTCTGTCTTGTCAGGATTCAACCTCAATCCATTAGCCGCCATCCATCCTCCAACCACCTCCAGACACTCACACAGGACCTTCACTGGTTCTGATTTGAAAGAGAGAGAGAACTGGGTATCATCTGCATACTGATGAACACCCAGCCCAAATCCCCTGATGATCTCTCCCAGTGGCTGCATGTAGATGTTGAAAAGCATGGGGGAGAGGACAGAACCCTGAGGCACCCCACAAGTGAGAGCCTTTCTGAACACGGCGCAGGAGGAAGGAGCGGAACCACTGTGTAACAGTGCCCCCAGCTCCCAGTCCCTCAAGGCCTGCACAGGCTCTTTTTAAATCAGCAGACACACCTTGCTCCTCCTCTCCCCCCCCCCCCATTTTTCTTGCTCTAAAATTTCAGGAGCCAAGGAGTCCTTGTGAAGCATGGAATGGCAGGGCGGAACAGCAAATTGTGTTAATTGTGTGCTTCACAACTGAGGTGGATGCCCCAGGCCAGAGCATTAAACCGAGGGCCTGAAATTACATGGCTGCCCCAGTGACCTGGCCCAAGCGCCCTTCGAGGATGCCATGGGATGGTCCCAGCACCCCACCTCTGCCTCTAGCTGCGGCAAGGAGGGTCTAAAGAAATTTGGGGCAGGGGTGTGAGGCAGGGAATGCTTCCTGCAGGGGGACTTCTTCCACCTGGAGGGGGCAGCTGCCCAGCCCTGGAATGCAGCCCCCAGTCTTTCATTAAGAGCTGAGGAGATGGGTCAGCGCACCTGGTTTAAAGGTGAGAGGTGGGGCAAAGGAAAAGAAGGGCCTCGCCTCTGCCTCTCTGTCTGGGTTTCCAACTCCCATCAGATCTTACAAGGCTGGGTGGAAGGCGCTAGGAAGCCTGAGGATGCAGGCTTGCATATTGTGGGACCATATAACACTGCTCCTAAAGGATATACATTGGCTCCTAGTATGTTTCCGAGCACAATCCAAAGTGTTGGTGCTGACCTTTAAGGCCCTAAATGGCCCCATATATCTGAAGGAGCGTCTCCACCCTCATCGCCCAGCCTGGACACTAAATTCCAGCTCCGAGGGCCTTCTGGCAGTTCCCTCACTGCGAAAAGTGAAGCTACAGAGAACCAGGCAGAGGGCCTTCTCGGTAGTGGCACTCTCCCTGTGGAATGCCCTCCCATCAGAAGTTAGGGGGATAAATAATTATACGATATTCTGTAGACATCTGAAGGCAGCCCTGCATGGGGAAGCTTTTAATGCCTCATGTTTTGTTCTGCTACTTTATATTGTTAGAAGACACTCAGATTGGCTGGGGCAACCAAGTCAGATGGGGAGGGGACAAATAATAAAATGATGATTTCTATTTTAAAAAATCATATTCTGGGCTTCAGGAGAGAGAGACCTCACAGCAGGTGAATGAGTTGCTACAGCTGCTATGCACATGGATTGCAGCTACGAAAATCTCAGTTTTTAATGGATGGGTGTGGCTGAGGCTGAACAGCACAACAACATCTCAAGGGCCTTTCTGCTTGGGGCAGATTACTAGCCCAGCCTTCCCCAAGCTCAAATAAGAGTTTGCTGGATCAGTCCAATGGCATCCTGTTCTCACAGAAGCAGGATCCCAGCGCAAGAACACCAGGAATTGGTATTCGAAAGCACTGCTGCCTCCAGAAGCTGCGAGCTACAACTCCCAGCAGACATAATTGTTGTGATGGGAATTGGAGTCCAAAACTTATGGAGGGCACCCGTAAGTTGAGGGAGGCTGTGCCGGCCTCCATCTCTCAAACAGCATAGCAAGAGAAGACCCACCTCTTCTCCACGTAGGCTTTGGAAATGGCCAATCACTTATATAAACTGAAATAAAAACAATTCAACTCCAGTAAAGAAAACATGCTCCTACAAATGCAGAACCTCAAATGTTGTCGATTGCAATCCCTCACACACTTACTTGGAAGTACCGTCATATTGAATTTCCTTTTGAGTAGACACACTCTGAGGCTACTCAAGTGTCAAATTTAGCACCTTGGAGAACCAGGGTTCAAATCCACACTTGTCCATAAAGCTCCCTGGGTGAATTTGGGGCCCCCACTCCCTCTTGGTCCAACCTACCTCACAGGGTTGTTGTGGGGATAAAATGAGGAGAACAATGTACGCCACCTTGAGCTCATTGGAGGCTATAAAAGGTGGAATACTAGTTCTCACCCTGGGCCAGCAGGGGGATACTGTAGATAGTTTTCACTCAGGTCCGCATATGCAAATAAGGGATTGAAAGTGACGTTCAGTGATTGGATAGTTACAGAAAGTTGTTACTGTTGCTTTGTAGTTGAGTTCTATATAAGCAGGCTGGCTGAACCCTTCAGTCCAGTTCTGTTCTGGCCTGTGAATAAACAAGAGCTGTCTGAAGAATCGCTGTGTCGCCTGATATGTTCACCCACAACTTAACAAGGGTTGCAGCAAGAAATAAGACACAAGTTTCTGACACGCATATCACACTGGGTGAATCAGAGAGCTGGTCCTTTGCAGCGTATGAGGAGATTTGGAGTTTTGCACACAAACCACCCTCCATTCCTGAAATCAAATGCAATCCAGGGCCCGCCTGCCAGTCCAGTCCATTCTCCGAACTCCTTGCTCTGTAATTATAAGCTTTCATCCACAAATAGCCACAGGCCAAAAGCAGTGAAGGGGGGGGGCTGGTTGAGCAGCAAGGCTGGAGGCTGGGAATGCCCCCCTCCCCTTGCATGCTTCACACATGATAGGTACCTGCTGAGGTAATCCAGTTCTTGTTTGGCCAGTTATCAAGCCCCAAATCTGGGCAAACTAGCCGGTCCTTGCGCAAGACGCAAACAGAAAGGTCAGCGACGTGGCGTTTGAACACCTCCAACCCGTTTGGGGAAGGATATTTGGACGTAAAACAATGGTTCAGAGGCGCAACCAAACATATGCCCTGCACATGCAAAAAACCACACATCTTTCTTGTCACTTTGCAAGTCCTGTCCCTCCAGATTTTCAAAGTTTTCCTTTTTTAAAAAAAAAATTATTTAAATTTTATTAACATATAAAACACATATAAATTTACACAATACACATACACAACACACTACCTTATTTTCATAACATAAAACATACCTACATTACTCTATATAATACTCTATATAATACCTACCTATACTCTACATATTAACACACCTACACACCTACCCCACACCAAGTGACTTGACTTCCAGCCGTTTTTGTTACGCTACTTAATTTTACCAACTAGCTTAAATGCATTTCATTATTTCTTTAATCTCTTCTTCTATCTTGATTTTACTCTCCTTTCACTCTCGTCATTTTCTGGATTCACTAAATACCTGTCAGAAATTCTACTTTTTCCACATAAATTTTGATGTATTCCTAAAAGATTAAGGTAAAGGGACCCCTGAGCCTAGGACTTGCCGATCAGAAGGTTGGCAGTTCGAATCCCCGCGACAGGGTGAGCTCCCATTGCTTGGTCCCTGCTCCTGCCAACCTAGCAGTTCGAAAGCACACCAGTGCAAGTAGATAAATAGGTACCGCTCCGGCGGGAAGGTAAACGGCATTTCCCTGCGCTGCTCTGGTTTGCCAGAAGCGGCTTAGTCATGCTGGCCACATGACCCAGAAGCTGTACGCCGGCTCCCTCGGCCAATAAAGCGAGATGAGCACCGCAACCCCAGAGTCGGCCACGACTGGACCTAATGGTCAGGGGTCCCTTTACCTTTACCTTTTAACTGGTTGGTGGCAGTGGGGAAGTGAGCATAGTGGTGGCACAGGGATCAATAGACCGTTAAACGTCCGGGGACCCTGTATGATCGCCACACCCTGCAACACAGGAATCTTTTGCCCAATGTGGAGTTCGAACCCACAGCCCTGAGATTCAGAAACTCATACTCTACCGACTGAGCTATCCCAAGGAGTGGTCGCCCCCGTTCACCCCACCCTGTGCAGCAATAAGGCTGGAAAACAGTCTCCCATGGGAAACTTTTTAATGCCTCGTTGAAGATTTGCAGGAGGGGTGCAGCTATGGAGGGAAGGGTTAACTCTATGAAACAAGAATGTTCGTCTTCCTCTGTTTTTTTAAAAAAAGGGGGGAGAGACTAGAAGATAAACAGTGGAAGTGAAAAGGCCATACTGCTCATTCAACCACTGGAGGCTGAAACCACAATATTTTATGCACAACTTACGCTGAATTTCATGTGGGGCATGGCATGTTGCATCCTGATATTCTAAATTTCTTCCCTGTAAAAACAAGTTCCTAGTTCCTGTGGCTGAAAAGTCTCGAAAAGGAGTGTGTAATGGAAGGTCGTCGGGATAGAGCATGGTGCTGAAATGCCAAGGTTGCAGGTTCGAGCCCCGTAAGGGACAGCTGCCTGTTCCTGCATTGCAGAGGGTTGGACTGGATGACCTCAGGGTCCCTGCCAACTCTGCGATTCTATTCTTGCAAGCTGTCATTTAAAATGACCTCAAGGGGTGTGTAACGCCTCGTGCAGCATGGTGGAGAAGCAGAACAAATATATGCAAATAATATGCATATCTTGCTTAAGACAGGCTGCAGAAATTAGCTCTCTCTTTTTGCAGAAAGAAGCTGCGCCTCTCAGAATTATTTTAATTTAATTAACAGCCAGTGTGGTTTTAATAATAAATAATATTTTTTTTATTTATACCCCACTCTTCCCAGTTCAGAAAACCGGGCTCAGGGCGGCTAACAACAAATTTAAAACAATTAATGCAACGAAAAACAGCATAAAATACAGTATAAAACATGAATAACAATAAATTCAGAATTTAAAAAATCAGTTTAGGGGAGAAATCCATCCAATAAACATTAGATGATCACCAGGGCTAGCTGGCTAAATTAGTCCTATTTGGGCCAGCGAGGAGACCAGGGGAGAATTAGCTGTGGGATCCCAGAGCAGGTAATCTTCATAAAAAGGGGAGAGGGAGGGAAGGAAGGGGAATAAAAGACCAGGCTGAATTCAAATTAAAGGCCAGGAGGAATAGCTTTGTCTTACAGGCCCTGCGGAAGAAGGTTAAATCCTGTAGAGCCCTAGTCTCATGGGACAGAGCATTCCACCAGGTCGGAGCCATCACTGAAAAGGCCCTGGCCCTGGTGGAGGATAGTTGACTTCCTTAGGGCCCTAAACTATGATTATTCATGGACCTTAAGGTCCTCCGCGGGGCAGACCAGGAGAGGCGGTCCCGTAGATACGAGGGCCCTAAGCCACAAAGGGCTTTAAAGGTCAAGACCAGCACCTTAAACCTGACCCGATACTCCACTGGGAGCCAGTGCAACTGGTAAAGCACTGGGTGAATATGCTCCCATGGCAGGGACCCCGTGAGGAGCCTCGCTGCAGCATTCTGCACCCGCTGGAGTTTCTGGGACAGCTTCAAGGGCAGCCCCGCATAGAGCGAATTACAGTAGTCAAGCCTGGAGGTGACCGTCGCATGGCATGGATCTCTGTGGCCTGGTCGGGGCGGGAAAGGTAAGGGACCAACTGCTTGATGCGGCGAAGGTGCAAGTGTGCAATCTACTTGCAGAAAGGAGAGCAGCCTTGCTTCTCCCAGCCTTATCTGCAGCCCCTCTTTGCCCAACCTTCAACATTAAGAGGACCCAGCCAATGGGCAGTACTGTTTAATAGGTGGCTGTTAAGGGGATGGCCAGAGGACCCAGCCATACATTTCTCCCACCCCCACAACTGCACACCCCAAGATGGCAGGCACAGGGGTCCTATTTAAAAGTTACAGGTGAAACTCGAAAAATTAAAATATTGTGGAAAAGTTCATTTATTTCAGTAATTCAACTTAAAAGGTGAAACTAATATATGAGATAGACTCATGACATGCAAAGCGAGATATGTCAAGCCTTTATTTGTTACAATTGTGATGTTTAGGGTGTTCAGCTGATGAAAACCCCAAATTAACAATCTCAGAAAATTAAGAGTATTACATGAAATCAGCAAAACAAGGACTGCAAATAGAGCAGTATTGGACTTCTGAGAAGTAGAAGCATGCACATGTACTCAGTACTTGGTTTGGGCCCCTTTTGCATCAATTACTGCCTCAATGTGGCGTGGCATGGCTGCTATCAGCCTGTGGCACTGCTGAGGTGTTACGGAAGAGCAGGATGCTTCAATAGCAGCCTTCAGCTCTTCTGCATTGCTCTGTCTCATGTCTCTCATCTTTCTCTTGGCAATAGATTCTCTATGGGGTTCAGGTCAGGCGAGTTTGCTGGCCAATCAAGCACAGTAATCCCATGGGCATTGAACCAGGTTTTGGTACTTTTGGCAGTGTGGGCAGGTGCCAAAGTCCTGCTGGAAAATGAAGTCAGCATCCCCATAAAGCTCGTCTGTGGAAGGAAGCATGAAGTGCTCCAAAATTTCTTGGTAGATGGCTGCGTTAACCCTGGACTTAATGAAGCACAGTGGACCAACACCAGCTGATGACAGGGCTCCCCATATCAACACAGACTGTGGAAACTTCACACTGGACTTCAAGCATCTGGCATTGTGTGCCTCCCCTTTCTTCCTCCAGACTCTGGGTCCTTCGTTTCCAAATGAGATGCAAAAGCTGCTCTCATCAGAAAAGAGATTTGGGGAGCCATGTCATCAGCTGGTGTTCCGTTCCGGAAGTCCGTTCCAAAACCAAAGCGTTCCAAAACCAAGGTGCGCTTTCCCATAGGAAGTAATGCAAAATGGATTAATCCAGACTTTTAAAAACAACCTCCAAAACAGCAACTGAACATGAATTTTACAATCTAATGAGACCACTGATCCATAAAATGAAAGCAATAAACAGTGTACTGCAGTCACACAATCAATCAATCAGTAGTTGAACTGGGTTCCACACAGTCACACACACACACACACACACACACACACACACAAACACGAGCCACAGAAGCAAAAACACAAAATAAACAGCAAAAACAGACAGACCTCAGTGTAACACTCAAAACGGAAGTGTGGCACTCAAAACAGAGCACGTTCGGCTTCCAAAAAAAGTTCACAAACCGGAACACTTAACTTCCTGGCTTGTAGTGTTTTGGTTCAAGTTGTTGAGTACCTAGGCGTTGGAGAACCAAAGTGCCACTGTACAGTGGTACCTCGGGTTACATACGCTTCAGGTTACATACGCTTCAGGTTACAGACTCCGCTAACCCAGAAATAGTACCTCGGGTTAAGAACTTTGCTTCAGGATGAGAACAGAAATCGTGCTCCGGTGGCGCGGCAGCAGCAGGAGGCCCCATTAACTAAAGTGGTGCTTCAGGTTAAGAACAGTTTCAGGTTAAGAATGGACCTCTGGAACGAATTAAATACTTAACCTGAGGTACCCCTGTATCTGTTATTCCTAACATTGCACGTTCCATGGCATGCGGCCGAGTTGTTCTTAAGATGTTCGCCTTTCTCTGTGCCACCATCCACTTCTCCACTGTGGGTCATAGGCGAATGTTGAACGCTTTAGCTTTCAAATCCAGGAAATATTTTTGTTTGCTCTTTGGAGGTAATGTTTTATTTCGAGTCCCATCGGGGAAAAGTTGGGGGTACAGTGGACGCTCGGGTTGCAAACGTGATCCATGTGGGAGGCGCGTCCGCAACCTACAACGCCACATCTGCGCACGCGCGGGTTGCGATCCGGCGCTTCTGAGCATGCGCAAAGCGCGATTTAGTGCTTCTGCGCATGTGCCAAAACCCGGAAGTAACCCATTCCGGTACTTCTGGGTTTCAGTATGTCCGTAACCCGAAAACGAGCAACCTGAAGCGTCTGTAACCCAATGTATGACTGTGCAGTGGTACCTCGGGTTACAGACGCTTCAGGTTACAGACTCCGCTAACCCAGAAATAGTACCTTGGGTTAAGAACTTTGCTTCAGGATGAGAACAGAAATCGTGCTCCGGCGGCGTGGCAGCAGCGGGAGGCCCCATCAGCCAAAGTGGTGCTTCAGGTTAAGAACAGTTTCAGGTTAAGAACGGACCTCCGGAACGAATTAAATACTTAACCCGAGGTACCACTGTATAAATAAATGCACAATCGTAATTATAATTTTCCATTGCAAAGCTCAGTTTTCCAAAGGCTGCCCACGGTTTCTTTTTTTGGGGGGGGGGAGGAATATCCCATAATGAAACCAGAAGATCAGCTGTCCTCCTCTCTCTTTCTCTCTCCGACTGACACTTCCTAAGTGCAAGCCTGCAAATGCACCCACATGCAAACACGCCCTGCCCCACATTGAGATTCCAAGGGGGGCTGCCTCCATCAGACACTTCCTGACAGTAGATCTGGATAAAGAGGAGTGGGCCGGAGGGAAGGGGGGGTGGAGAGCTGATTTATGTGCTGAGGTCAGGGGGTCAAAGGTCGGGGAGAGAAAGGGGGAAGGGGAGGCAAATGGAAAAGCCACTTCCCTCCTTATCAAATATTTACCCAGCTTGGAGGGCTGGAAGGCCTCCGATGCAACAAAGGGGGTGGGGGTGGGGAGAGCCAGGGGGCAAATTCACTGATTCCAGCCAGGGCGAAGGAGCTGGAGATGGCTGGGTTAAGGATGCCACCTTACCTGGGGGGGTGGAAATCAAACCTGGACGGGATGGGGGGCAGAGAGGGGGGTGATTGTTAAGTCGGTCTGTGCCCCTTTTCGCTGGCTCTTTCCTTAAATTCAATCCCAGGGCGGGTTGCAAGGAGGAGAACGCTCGCGGGAACGTCCTCGAAGCCAAATAAAATCGCATTGGAAAAGACACGCGCAGAGAATCGAAAGGCCGGAAGCAGAAAAAGATTTCCCCCGAAAACAACCCACACAAATGGGGACAAAAAAACCCAAAACAATCTGAATTATCCTGAAACCAAACGCTGCTTTCCATTGCCTGCTGGAATGAGAGAATGAAATTGACCGCTTTCGCTGTTTCGTTTATCTTGTTTGTTTGTTTAA